TGCCTTTAGGAAGTTTTCTCTTATGCCTACTTTGTTTAGGTGAATTATTATGTGTCTAGGAGTTGGTTTTCTCATTTGTTGTCTTGCAGGGGTTCTCGGAAGCTCTTGTGTTTGAATTTTTGCATCACTGATTAGATAAGGGAAGTTTTCTTGAATGAGCTCATGGAAAGTTTGTTCCAGTGTGGTCTTTGTCTCTTTCTGCCTCAGGAAGTTACTCTTAGGTTTGGTCTCTTGAAGTAACCATTCATCTCTTGAAGGTTTTGTTCTGTATTTTTGAACTTTTTTTCTGTGTTTTTAAGAGTTTGGGTTAGTTCTATATTTTGGTCTTCAAGCTCTTAGGTTCTTTCTTCTGCTTGGGTAATTCTGCTTTCCATGTTTATCAGTTTGTTACTTATTTCGCTCGCAGTATTCTTCATTACTGTTATCTCAGATATCAGCTCCTTCCTAGTTTCTTCTTGCCTTTCCTCAATTTTTTTAATCTCTCCATTAATGTCTTGATATCTAGGTTTGTAGTTTCAGACCCGTCATTTTGGGGGCTCTTCATTGTTTGCATTCCGAAGTCATTTTCTCAGTGTCTGCCTTCCCAGGGGTGTGGGAGAGACCCATATTCTTCTTTTGGTTTTTCTTCATTTGTGTAGATTTTTCTCTCTCTCCCCCTTTCCCTCCCCTTCTTTAATTTTGTTTTTCAGGGAAGGTAGGGTTGCTTTTGTTTTACTTTGCAATCTCCTGTTTCCTTATGAGGGTCCTCTGGCTTTGTTTACTTTTGAGGTTGGAGTGTGGGCTGCGGTCTGCACTTCTTGCAATTTTGTGGTTTAATTGAGTGGGAAGCTGTGATTCAGAATATATATGCTGATTCCAGCATCAACCAACAGGTGTATGAGCACACTGGAACCTATTTCCCACTGCCTTACAATCTGTCTGTGCAGCGGTATGTAGGTTTCATCCCTGGATCAAAAGGAGGTACTGAAGAGAAAATAATAGAGGAAGGGGGTATCAATAGGAAGTTAAAAAGAGAGGAGAGTGAGAGGGAAAACAGACATACATACCAACTAACAGGTGAAAAAGAGACACAAGGCCGGAGAGAAGTGAAAAAAACACGTGAGCAAAATTCCCTAAAGAATACTGGTAGTTACACAGAGACAGACCAATAAAATCATGAAACAGATAGTGTAAGTCAGCGAACAAAAGTGACCAAAGCAAACAGTCAAATTGATAAAATCAAAAGTCAAAATAAGAGATCAGACTAGCTCTGGAATCTTTCCTGAGTGTCTAAAGTCTCTTCAGCTCTGATCTCCAGCCTCTCCCCTTTGTTTTCCTTGCAGGCAGTTAGATTTACTGGCAGCTTGGGTTTGGTTTTTTTTTTGCCTGCTGCCTGAGATGTCTGCAATGTTGCCTTTTTTCTGATTCAGCAGGGGAGGGCTTCCTCTCCTGTTTAGCTACTTTACCTTAGGAATCAAGGCGGAGGCTGCTGATAGGTGAGTGGGCAATGCAAATCTCTGCCTGGAGAATGGCCAAGGTGGCAGCTTCATTTTCGCAGATCTTTCCTTCCGCTTGTGTGGGTCCCTATTCATACCACTGTGATGGACTCTGCTGGAGTGGGAGGCACTGGGGATCAGCTGCATAGCTGGACACTGGATCTGGGGAGCCACCAGCAGGCTGGGGTGGAGGAGGGGGCTGGGTGTTCCTTCCTCTGGAGCTGAGAGCCTCTGTTCAGCACCTCCTTAAGATATTCTGTTCCCTTACATGAACATGGGGTCACGTGCTGAGTACCTCAGCCAGGGTGGGCCCAGAGATCCAGAGCTCCAAAGCTCCAAAGGGCAGGCGGTGGGTGGCAAGAGTGGCCCTGGGTCCCTCACAGGGTACTTCAGCCAGAAATGGGACCAGTATCTCTGAGGGGTGGGCACCCAGAGCCTCCTTGGGTGACCGGCAGTTTGGTGCTGTGTGCTGGGCGAGACAATGTAGCTAGGGAGGGAGCCGAGATCCGGGACTCCCGTGCAGGGAGGAGTCACATATAGTGGAGCAGCAGCAGCTGGGGGCCGCAGTATCCAGCCCTGCGTGGGACCAAAGGTCCCTGGGCCTTGGACCAGTGCAGCTGGTGGTGGGCAGGGGAGTGGGGGAAGAAAAGTAAGAATCTTTTGGGGAACTCATGTTCAGAGAATCTCACAAATCCACCTATGCCATCGCCATCTTACTGGAACTCCACACACAGCATTTAGAATTGACAAAAATTTCTGATAAATTGAGCATATGAAGGTGGGCAAGAAAAGAAATAAACTGGCAAGTATGAAGGTGTATGTGCCTACCTACATATGAAGGGGAACTCCCAATCATTGGTATTTATTTATTAAAAATGGTGTATTTATTCTTACATGTGTAAACTTTAGTCATCTTCAAAGTACTCTCCATTTGATGCAATACATCTATGGAGACACTACCACTGCTCAAAACAGTTTTTGAACTCATTCATTTTGATGTCTTTTAGTGCTTTTGCCATTTTTTGTTTCACCTCTTCTACATTTGCAAAATATTTCCATTGAGAACTTTTTTCATCTGGGGGAAATATAAACAAGTCACTGGGAGCAAGATCGGGTGAATAGGGAGCATGGGGCATGGGAGTTATGCTGTTTTTGGTAAAAACATGATGTGGGCAGGTTTATTGTTGTGTTGGAAGAACCAGTCTCCTGTTTGCCACAACTCAGGACATTTCTTTTGAGAATTGTGATACAACCTTCTCACAACTTCTAGATAAAAACTATGGTTGGCCATTTGATCCAGAGGAACAAATTCTGAGCGTACTACAAGGGTCCCCCCCTCCAGAAGATTATTTGAGATTTTTTGGGTCCCCCTTGTACAGACAGAGTCGTGGAGCTTTTTTTTTTAAGTGGACTAAAAGTACACAACAAAAATAGCATATGAGCTAGGAAGTAGATAAGTGGGAATTGAAGTTCTAAGATCCTTGTTTTTTTAGTAGGGATATAAAACTAGCATTGATTTTTTTTTTAAGCTGTAGATTCCCATTTTTCATTATTTTTGAAAAGTTTTTTGCCATCGCTTCTTCAAATGATGTCTCTGACCCTTTCATCTCTCTTCAGCTCATAAAAATCCATTTAGACATCTACAAGACTTTATCCCTGCATCCACCTTACCTTTTACTTCTTTTTCCAACTTACTACATCTTTATCTTTCTGATATGAATTCCAGATGAAGTTATTTGGTTATATTTTCTAAATAGTTTTCCAATTTTCATTTTAACTATTTCTTATTTGTTATAAAACTCATCTAATGAGTTTTTTAGTTAAGAATTATGCTTTTATTTTTTAGAAAATTGTTTGACTTGTTTTCAAATATGCTTGGTCTTTAACCATATTTTAAACTTCTGTGCCTCATATGGGTCCATTTGGCTCCTCAGTTACTGATATAAAAGTACTTTCTTCTCTCTGGAACTAAATGCCCAGCGGTGTTAAGATGTACAGATATCTGGGCTGGTTGACTGAAAACCTGAAGTCAGCCCTATTAGTAAAATGATGCACAGTGAGTTGAAAATGAACAGCACTTTATTGAAGAGACTGCTGTTTAAAACCCATTTCTGGAAAAGAGTTCTGTTTTTCTACAATCAAGGTTGGTATAAAATGCTAAGGGAAAGCTTTTATGTTTTATAAATCAAAATATGATTTTTCATAAAAACCAAAAAATTCCCAATAAATTAAAACCCCAAAAGAAAGACAAACACCTGATTGCATTGACAAGAAATTTTATTTTAAATGTTTTATAGTTACATTTATAATTTTATACTATCAAAAAGAGTTTTAAAATTTGGGGGAGCACATAAAAGTATCTTAAAGTTTAAAAGTTACAAAACACAATCATTTAAATAGTATTATGAGAATTGATTCATACATAATAAATAGCTTCAACTAGAAATTACTTTGCTAATATTGCCTGATGAATTTTTGCTGTTTTGACAGTTCTAACTCAGGATTGTGTAATTCAACACAATCCTGCATGACAGGGCAATAACAATGACAAGACAAAACTAGGAGTATCAAAAGTAGGATTGTAATTGCAATTAAAATTTCTGATAAGCAATAATGTACTTATACCAAAAAATTATTTGTTGCTTATCACAAATAAAAATTTAACTGAATGACCTTTATTTATTTATTTACTTACTTTGTTTAATCTGAAAACCTTGATAAATTGTTTCCTCATATAACATCAATTAATATCTAAAAATAAATAAGATTTATGATAACATCATCATAACTATTCTATCAACAGTGATTCTTCCTTTTTCATGTTTCCAAATTTATGCACAAATATTACAATATTTGATGTTAAAATAAATATATAAATAATAAATAGGTGAATAAGTTACACTTGAAAATAATTTACATGACCATAAACAAAACTTAAAGTGCTTCCACATGTCCTCACGACATCCCTGTGAGGTAGGATGGGGGCTGACATATTTACAGTTTAGAAATGAGAGAGAAATCAAGGCACAGCTGAACAGGAACTAATGGATCCTGGGTGGAAGACTAGAGTTGCCAGATGTACCAAATAAAATCTGAAATTTCCAACTAAATTTGAATTTCCAGAAAAATTCATCCTTCCATGATTTTCATGAGATACAGGAAGCACCACATTTCCAGCAAACCCATTCAATTTCTGAAGTTGAAGGCCAGAATTGAGCCCTTGATCTCAATTTTGTTCTATGTATATTCTCCTATGCAATATCTAGGACCTTCTTATATTTTAAAAATTATTTTTGTTTGCTGTAGATTCAAAAAAATATTTTAAGTATAAGTATATCCTAGTTATAGCATGGCACAATGAAAAAAACCCCTATTCAATTCAGATTATACCAGTATATTGTATTTTATCTGGCAACCCTACATCAGACCCACACAGTACATGACGCACTGAAGAAGCTTGTTTGAAGTTTTCACTGGCATCTTTACTGAGGAATTCTTGGAGAATGCATGGAGAATGCATTTTTTTTATGAATCTTGCTTCTCAGCCCTAAAAATAAATTAAAAAGTTAAAGATTAACAATATTCTAATAGGAAGAAAAAGATTCTTGGAAATATATGAACATCTGTATACCTAACCCTGAATTGTACCCCCCATCTTTAAAATAAAAAAAAAATTTTAAAGAAAATATATTGTCTTGAAATCTTAATACAATCTTAAACATTCATACATTAGAAATGCTCTATGCTTTCAACTACACATAGGAAGAGCAGAATTAATTTATCATATAAAACAGGACACTCCTGAGAGTGAAAAGGAACTCTACTAGTAATACAGGACATAGGCATTAACCCAGGTTTCCCTGGACAAACTGAGATGGTCTTCTCAGTCATGAGTACAACAAACTCACTACTGCGGCTCTATATATACATGAATCAAAGAGGCAGATACCAAAAAGGGAAGATTTTCAACAGCTGCAGGGAATGCATAGGCTGACTTTTGGAGTATATGTTCCAGAATAAATGAATAATTCAAATTTTTTAAAAAACAAATTTACCTCTTCAAAAATATCTGCACAACCTTCTGCACCCATTTTTCCTTGGGGTCCAGGCAGAGCTCTCGTTCATCGACAAGCTTTACACTAAAATGAGAAGGAGATGGTTAAGATTAATATTTAGTTTTCCCATTCAAATCATGGTTCCTTAAGTACAAGCACAAAGTCTAAGTTCAAAGCAACCTTCAGCTACTAGGCATGGAAGGTACCATATTTAAAATTCATAGAGATAAAAAATTTGTTTTGTTTTGTTCACTGCTATATTCCTAGATCCTAGAAATTTTCTGAATTCTTCTACCTTCCTTAATTATAGATTTGCTAAAGCAGCATATCTAATCATCTTTGAAAATACTTACATGATTTCCGAATTTGCACAGTGTGGTCCACTCTCAATCACTCTCAGTTCTTTGATATATTTGGGGTGGAAAGGTGTGGAGTGCGTTTTTATGCATTGGCATCGGAGTTCTGTACCAATTCTTGACAGAACTGCAGCTGTGGGGAATTAAAAACAGGATTGAGGTTGGTTTTATCAACAGGCACAGTGCTGCTAGCTACTCCTTCTTTCATTTCAATGATTATTTGGAGACTGTGGAAAGCATCATATTTCTAGCAAACTCATTTCTGATACTGAAGACCAGATATTCTTCTAGCCCTTGACCTCAATTTTGTTATTTGTTTTAAAAACAGTCATTGCTGACAACATCGAATAACTTTCTACATAAGGAGCTGGAGTTGTCTGTGTGCAATTTAGCATTCTCATGCTGCTTTTCTTCCCTACTTGCTAAAACCACAGTCCTCTGTAATACCACAGTGCTATTAGTCATAAGTAAACTAAGAATCTCCAACATAGAAATGGCCATCAGAATTATTAGAAAGATATGAATGAGTTGCACAGACCTGAAATGGTCTACAATCAGAATATCTTTAAACCAAACAGGAATTGATAGTTATCTGAAGCTTCTCAATAAGATACTACATGGAGTAAATTATCTGTGTTAAACCTTTCTCAATATGAGTAGATTATATGGGTCACTGTGGCCCTCAGTAAGATATACTGTAAATTACCGATTTATATTAAATATATGCATACTGTATAGTATGAGTTATAGGAACGGAATGTCTATATTAATCAGGTTTTATACTTTCCTAAGTATTATATAGATACAGCCTAAAAAATACTTCCATTTCATATTAATTGCAATGATTACCTCTGTTCCTGAATTTAAAAAATATTTTCACGAAAGCATTAAGGATAGCTTTGCTAGCTGAGGCTTACACTGAGACATAGAAACATGCCTTAGTTCAGAAAGATGTGCTTACCTTCACACAGAGCTGCAGAAAGCACTAAGGCTGCCAAGAGGGCCACAGTCAGCTTGGAGGTCATGTTTACACACAACGAGATGGTTCCTTCCTGTGGTTTCTTGCTGGCTGTTGTCCTAGAAGACTGTCTGCTTCTCTGTCTCTGGAAGACTTGTGCTTTCTGGAGTGCTCTGGTGGCTTTTTATACTATCGCAACAGCAGAGAACACATGCACCCTCTTGTAATTATGTCAGAGGAAATTCCACAATTTGCAACTATCTGCCCGCCCATCCCCTGAGGTCAAACCTGAGTCATCAGACCTCCCTGGTTGGTTCTTTATCAAATACTCAGCATGATAAAACTTTTCTTTGATTTTTAAAATAATTTGACTTTAATAAACTTGTTTTTAAATATTTAAACTTCCCATTTGATAAAGTATTATCAATTGTATTCCTTTTTATTTCTAGATAACTTTATCATAATACTATGTGACAGAGTGACAGCTGTTAGAACAGGTCAGTGTTGATTATTCTTTTTATGGCCTGATCAGTTCTTTAAATAAATTATATGTGCTGTAGTAATAGAGAAGATAACCTAGTCAGCCATTTTTATGGGGAATATTATTTATGGTAAGTCCTTTTCTAGGCATTTTATAGCATTTCCAGAAACTGTTACTGGGTAGACATTAACATAGTGTAGAAGTAGTTAGACAGGTTTTCCTAGATAGATTTAAACTGAAATAGGGTAGTGTTCAGACACCTTTCTTATCCATACATGACCTTCACCTGACCCAGTCAGGCACATCAGACCTGGTCACCTTGAGGGATGGAACATGGAACTACCAGTGCAGTAAATCGCAGAAATAATAGGAAATTATCCAAAACACAGATATGATATTCTAAGAAAAGCCCAAATCTAGTTATGCAATAACTTTAATTATTTAGAAGGTCCTTGTGACCTTATAAAGTTGAGAAATGATAATCAGACACCTACAGCCCACCCCTCTTAGCTCATTGAAGGTGGAGAGATGGTAATCAAAACTTGTGACCAGATACCTGCAGCCCTACACTCTTAGCTCTTTGTTTACTTAATCATTGTTGTAAAAGTATATGAAGTTTATCAAAGGCAAACACATGTTCTTTCTCTTAAAGCACCCATGCCCTTCAAGCATCTCCTTTTCTTTCCAATAAATTCTGTCTTAAACTATACTTGGAATTGGCTTTGAAATTCTTTTCTGTTGCTGAGCCAAAGAACCCATGGAGCAACACATCACACCCCACCTGGAATCACCTCTGTTCTCAAGGAGCATATTACAACTTTTCAAAAGATTTAGTTCTCTAATATATATTAACAGAATGAAAAGGCACACCTGCTGCATGTAGAAATAATCCAGTTTCACAAACATTTATGAAGTAACTTTCTGAGTAATGTAGAGGATCTAGAGAAGGATAAGACTAAGTACTTGTGCTTAAAGAGTGTGGTCTCTTGGAAGAAAGCCATACAAGGATTGACTATATTACAGAGTAGGCAAGTGGTACTAAGATATTAATTTCAGTTGGGGGGAAAAGAACAGAATCTTTCAAAAAGGAGTTTAAGCAGGGTGATGAAAGATGGGAGGACTTCAACAGAGCAAGACGAAGGGGAATAGCACATTCCAGGTAGAGCATTGTACACTTTCCAGGTAGGGATACTGTTCAAAGACACTAAAGTTATAAAGTTGAGGTATGTTTATGCTCCAGGAAGTGGTGCACTAGGGTTACTTTGTTGGGGTGAGAATGGGGTGTTATCTAATGAAAAGGCAAGCAGTGTATGCCTAGGGGAAAGAGCATTCAGGCACAAACTGTTTCAGCCATCTTACTTCATGCTCCTTATCCAAGGAAACCAAGACTAACCTCTGAGGACCCATGATCCCTATCATAAGGGATGAAATAAGAAAATCTGATGTCATCAATGTCATAAAAAGATGGTTTTATGTCCTAGTGTCCTGAAGAAAAGTCCTTTCAAGAAAGGTTTTGGTTTCCTTAGATAAGAGTGCCTTGGAAGTGTCCTTACAATAGTAAAAGTCTGTTCCCCTCTGGGCAAGTATGTAATTCACAAACAATTCATCTTGGTTTAACACTTTTCTTCATTTTTAGGAAGTGCGACAGACCAGTGACTTTGCCCACACCTTCAACACACTTTGGAAGGTCAGAGAAATGTCATTTTAAAATGCTTTTCAAAAAGGTAAGTCAGTTTTTGAGCAATTGCATTTTTTTTCTTTATCCTCATCCAGGCAATTAGAGCTTGAGGACAAAGTAGTGCCTGGGTTCCATTACCTTTTGTGGCAAAGTAAATGTTTATTCTGTACAATGCAGTTCCTATTGTTTTTAACTCTAGATTTCAGAAATTCAGTTATCCAGGTATTCATTTGATATACATTACTGCTAATGCCAGCTATTGTAGAAGATGTGAATACTATGTAAATCAGATATAGTGCCTGAGTTCAAGGAGTTTGCAGTCTAACGCAGAATAGAGACAATTAGCTACACAAGCAAATAAAATACAGTGATGAGTGTTATAATACAGATAACTACAGGAAGTTCTGGAAGCATACAAATAGACTGTTTGATGCAGTCTTCCTAAATAAAGGTTTTCTAAAGAAACTTCAAAACTGTGACCTGTGTTGGTGATGGAGAGAGGACTAATGAGACTGCTTTAATAGTGGAGGGAAAAGCAAGCAAGGATGACATGTAAGAGAACATGACCCATGTGGACTCCCCAAATTGTTTAGCATGTGGAACACAGTATATAGAGAGAAAAGAAGAGAAAGTTGGGGCCAGATACATACAAAAGACCTAGACGTTAATGAAAACTCCTACTCTCCTTGGTTCAGTGATGTTGGCATGTTTGGCAAAGACACATTCTCATATGGACACAACCTGATGTGAGCGACTTTGTCCATTACCATTAAGACCCAAACATCGTCCCAGCATCACTAAGACCCTCAGAGTTCTGAGGATATGCAAAGATTCCTTGGCTTTCCCTGAGCGTTGTCTTTGTGTTTTTGCTGAACCTCACGTACACAGGCACCTCATTTCCCTCCTTATTTCTACCTCCCCATATTTCCCTTCCTCACACCTCTTACAGTCTCAGCTTCATCCTGATGTCATCATAGAGATGAGCCAGTAAGATCCATTTAACCTTGATGCTCATAGTTTTTTTGTTTGCTTCTTTGTTTTGTTTTTGTTTTTAGAATGGAATATTTTGAAATATTTACAAGGTCCCAAAACAACTCCACCTATTTTGCAAATGCTGTTTATCACTCACAAGGTAACCTTCAATGTATTATGTCCCAGAACCCTCTCCATGAATGGCGGGAATGGACAAAGACAAAGTGATTAATTCTATCTTGTCCACTTTTGCAAAGGTAAAACTCTGAGTCATTTTATAGTGAGTAGAAGAACTAAATAGGTATAAATAGAAAAGAAAAAAAAGCAGTTCTAATTATACTCTTTGAGGATATTCTGTTTTAAAATAGAGCAGAGCGGGGTACAAAGTTTAACTAATGGCAAAGCTGTGCATACATGCAAATGATGTTTTTTTCCACTCTTTAGAGATGAATGCAGCGTTCATGGGACTTTGGAAGTTAAACTGATTATTTAAGTCCTGACCAGCTCCTAAGCCATGGGAATTATTTAATGGGCAGAGAAGAGCACCTGGAGTTCTTTATTGCAACCATTGACCAAATGTATCTCCTAAGAAGGGAGGAGATCAAGACAGAACCAAGATGAAGCCCGGCATTTACACTTTTCACATCGATACATAAGCCTTCTTCTTTCATCAAACTCCGCACAGGAAACTGGGTGTGTTGTTCTAAACCATAAACCAAGTATGTCCCTCTCCCTAGGTATTTTAAAATTAGGGCTTTTTAATAAGCCAGAACAAAATTAAATTCACATAACAAGGCAGAATATGGTGGGGAAAACATGAGCTTTGATGTGAGATGAACTTGAGTTTGAATCTTGTCCCATGACCATATTTAAACTGTTCTGCTAACGTCAGAGACTCCTTTCAGAGCTGCCTTTCTCAGTCCCAAAGAAACATCTCAAACTCTGGAAATTCCTTTTTCCTTTGAGGAAATTCGTCTCAATTTGGCAAACCTCTAGGTTAGGAGAACCGTAGGCAAAGTGCTAAACATTTATCAGTGAGTTTGACTTACAATGTAAATGTTGAGTCACAAACAAGCATAAAAGCTCACTGAAAGTTTAGTCAGTAAAAGTCAGAGTTATTGGAAAAATTTAAAACTGTTCTTGGCTCTGGACTTTGTTAATATGATAACTACATTTGCTGTAGTACCTCAAGGACATTTCAATTCAATCTCCAAATTCAAATGTTTCCAGTTAACAGTTTGGAAAAGTACAAAGTAAAGTTGGTCCCTGTTGCTAAACATGTCTTAGCTTTTAGAGAATAGTTATATTTTCCCAAGTCTTAGCGATTGGAGAAGCAAATTGCTGAACACGTTGTTTAAGAGCAGCATGAAGTCTGAATAGCTTAAACTTAAGGGTGTACATTGGTATTGCGATAAGACAATCCTGCCTTCATCCTGGCTCCTTCACTTACTATTATTAACCATATAATCATGGAAAGTTCTTTAGCCTCATTGTGTCTCAGTGACCTAATCCATATAAAATCAGAATAACACAGCTCCATAGGATTGCTGTGAGAATTACATGAGGAAACACATGAAAAATAACCAAAATGGCGCCTGGCACATGGGAGGTCCTCAATAGTGTCATGTTTCTTTCCCTGTGGCCTGTCACTTATGTCACACTTGTATTTTCCTGGGGTGAGAGCACCACATGCTTTTTCTTTTTTTTTGAAATTTTACCAATCAAAAAGTAACATTGCAGTAACACAGTAGAGTTCTTAAAGCTTCTACCTAGCTGCTTTTTATTCTTCCATTATAGAAGCTTTCTTTTTCATGCCTAATAATTTAATTCATATTTGTGTTTAAAAATAAAACAAGATTCCACATGAAAGGGATTGGCAGTAGCGGGTCACTGACCGAATTGGAGGGGTGGGCACATAACTCTAATAAGAGTACCGATCCCAAACTAGGCGAAGCGAGAACCAGTGGGAAGCCCAAACTCCACCTGTACAATGACCACTTTCATACCTAACCTGGAATTTATTCCA